AATTATCAAGGAAAACTGCTCTGATATTCTAGAACCAGAGGGTAAAATAGAAATGGAAACAATCCACCAATCACCTCCTGAAAGAGATTCCCAAGGGAAAACTCCTAGGAATATTGTAGTCAAATTCCAGAGTTCCCAGGTCAAGGAGAAAATACTACAAGCATCCAGAAAGAAACAATGCAAGTATAGTGGAAACACAGTTAGAATAACACAAGATTTAGCAGCTTCTACGTTAAGGGACCAGAGGGCTTAGAATATGATATTCTGCAAGTCAAAGGAGCTAGGATTAAAACCAAGAATTACCTACCCAGCAAAACTGAGTATAAACCTTCAAGGGGAAAAATAGACATTCAGTGAAATAGAAGCATTCTTGATGAAAAGATCAGAGCTGAATAGAAAATTTGACTTTCAAATACAAAATTCAAGAGAAGCATAAAAAGGTAAACATGAAAGAGAAATTATAAGGGACTTATTAAAGTCGAACTGTTTATATTCCTACATGAGAAGATGATATTTGTAACTCATGAGACCTTTCTCAGTATTATATATATGGCTGGCACAGGGTGAGTTGAGGATGAAGGTATGATATCTAAAAAATAAAATTAAGGGGTGAGAGAGGATTATACTGGGAGAAGGAGAAAGGGAGAGGTAGAATGGGGTAAATTATCTCACATAAAACAGACAAGAAAAAGTTTTTACAGTGGAGGGGAAGTGGGGGAAGATGAGAGGGAATGAGTGAATCTTACTGTCATCAGATTTGGCTGAAGGAGGGAATAACATACATACTCAATTGGGTATGGAAATCTGTCTTACCCTACAGGAAAATGAGGGGGGGAAGGGGATAAGAGGGGGGATGATAGAAGGGAGGGCAGATTGGGGCAGGGGGTAATCAGAAGCAAACACTTTTAAAGAGGGGCAGGGTTAAAGGAGAGAATAGAATAAACGGGGTGGGATAGGGTGAAGGGAAATATAGTTTGTTTTTCACAACATGACTATTATGGAAGTGTTTTGCATGACTACATATGAACAAACTATATCAAGTTGCATGCTGTCTCAATGAGGATGGGTGGGGAGGGAGGGAGAGAATTTGGAACCCAAAGTTTTCAAAATGAACGTTAAAAATTGTTTTTACATGCAACTGGGAAATAAGGTATATAGATAATGGGGTATAGAAATCTATCCTGCCCTGCAGGAAAATAGAAGGGGAAGGGGATAAGATGGGGTGGGGGGGTAATATAAAGGAGGGCAGATTAGGGGAAGGGGTATTCAGAATATATGCTGTCTTGGCCTTGGGGGAGGGGAGAGATGGGGGAAATTTGAAACTCAAAATCTTGTGGAAGTGAGTGTTGAAAACTAAAAATAAATTTTAAAAAACAAATAAATACAAAAAAACCACACCAAGGAATGTTAAAACAATCCAGAATTTCTCAAACTGTGATCATTTGCACTGACTGAATAAATCCATGAAAAAGCATGTATTAAGAGCCTGTTATGTGTGAAGCATGATTTGCTGAGGATGGAGGTACTTTGGGAGCATTACAGCACCAGCAACATGTTTTCCCATTAAGTTTTTTTCTTTTTTTTTTCTTTTTTCTTTTTCTTTCTTTCTTTCTTTCTTTCTTTCTTTTTTTTTTTTTGATGAGGCAATCAGGGTTAAGTGACTTGCCTAGGGTCACACAGCCAGTAAGTGTCATGTGTCTGTGAGGCCGCATTTGAACTCAGGTCCTCCTGACTCCAAGGCTGGAGCTCTATCTACTGCGCCACCTAGCTGCACCCCCCCATTAAGTTTTAAAAATAAATTTGTCTTGATAAAAATAAAAGATAAAATAAAATACTTTATAGTATGATAGAAAGTATTGGGTGTGAAGCCAGGAAAAACTTAGTTACAAATTCCACCAATGGACAACTTTTTTAACATCATTGAGCCTCAATTTCCTCATCTATAAAATTTGGATAATACTATCCTTACTGCTCACTTAGCATTTTATGAGGATCAAATGAGATAATGATATAATGTGCTCTTTAAACCTGAAATCTTACGTAAATGTCAGCTGTTGTTTCATCAAATTATAAACTTCTTGAGGTCACAGACTATATCTTAAATGTCATTAGATACTTGCCATGTATATAAATATTTAATGGATAAATGAATATGGTGTTTAGATCACTGAAAGCAAGCTAGACAGTACTATTTTGTTAGCATGGATGTTTTATTCTTTAATAGTTTTATTAATATTTTTTGTTTTCACATTCCAGCCACTTCTGGATGTAATCCCCTTGCTTTCATTACCTTCCTCCCCTTCTAGATTGCTTCTCTTGTGAGTAGGAAAAAAAAGAATTAAGCAAAACTCGCCAGTCCCATCTGATACTCTGTGGAATGTTACCTAACCTTGCTCCCACCTTTACAGTGACAGCAAAGAGGAGTCCTACTTCATTTTCCACTATCTTACCTCCCATTCATTTCTCAATTTTAATAAGGGTCTTGCCAAACTGGACTGTGTGCAGAGGAGGACGACTGGGATATTGAAGGGCCTCGACGTCACGTCCTTTAGAAGAACCATTTGTCTCGGCTGAAAAAGGGAAGACCACAGTTGGGGCTCAGTGTTCTTTGTTCCTTTAGACCACACTGGAGCCAATGGATAGAAGTTACAAAGAAACAAATTTCAGCTTTACATATGGAGGGACTTCTTGATGAATAGAGCTGTGTCCCAAAGGACTGTGATCTCCCCTTCACTGACCATTTTAAAGCCATAATTGGAGGGTCGTCTGTGAGGGATGATTTAAAAGCAATATTCCCCTGGGAGTGTGCTCTCTGAAGTCCATTCTCATCCTTAAATAGATGATCATGTCACAGCATTACAGCACCTCAGAGTGGGCCGAAACTTAAGAGGTCATCAAGTTCAGCCCCGCTCTTTACCTCACAAGGAGTCATCCAGCCTCTGCTTCATAGCCTGAAGGGAGCAAGAATTCCCAACTTCCTGGTATAGCCCATTCTAGTTTTGGACACCTCAAATTGTTAGAAAGGTTTTCCTCCGCTCAAACCTAAATCTGCTTTTCTGTAACTTCTACCCATTTCTCCAAGGTTCACCAAAGTCGAAGCCAAAAAGAATAACGCTGTTCCACTTCCAACTGACAGTCCTCCAAAGACTTGAAGAAAACTGTCAGGCGTACCCTGAGTCTTCTCTTCTCAAGGCTAAACATCCCTACCTCCTTTGATATCCTCACATGAGATAACATAAAGCACTTTGCAAACCAGAAAGCACTGTATCAATGTTAGCTAGTTATCGTGATAGCTATTATATGTCTTGAAGTTTAAGCCCTTTACCTCTCTGGTTGCACTTTGAACATATTTAAAGGATGAGGGGAAAAAGAAAACTGACTACATGTATGTACCCATCAGGTACTGCAGGGCCAAGGGCTAGGTCCAAGGGAGGAAAAAGGGCTGTTGAGTTGCCCAATTTTCTGAGCAATACAGTTTGATACTGATCAGCTGGAGCCCAGACAGAAGAAGGTGACCAAGATGACAAAGAGACTCGAATGAAGAATTGGGAAATACAGCCTGGAAAAAAAAAAACTCAAAAAGAGACTTAATATCAGTCTTCATGTCTGTGAAAGGCTTTCACATGGATGACCTATTTTGCCTTTGGTAGCAGAACCAGGAGTAATGGGTAGAAATTGTAACAAGGAAAATTTAGGTATGATGTCAAGAAAAACAACCTACCAATCATCACTGTTAAGGGGAATAAGGTGCCTTCATAGGTAGGGGTCTAGAAGACGTAGATGATGAACAAAGCGTGTTACATGGTAGCTCTTTTTCAGGCATGGGTTCTACTAGCTGGCCACTAAAGCCCCTTCCCCTGATGTTCTCTGTCATTAAAGTCTGTTCCCTTCCTGGTCATTGCAGGGCAGGGCACAGTGGGAATCCCAATTCTCCTTTTCCCAGCAGTGTGCCTTTGTTAATGCAGCCTAAGATTGTTAACTTTTGGGCTGCCATCTTACCCATTTGACAAATACTGACTTTCAGTTCACAGCCTCTAGATCCTTTTTTTCATAAGAAGAGTTGTCTAGCTCCACCTCTGTTGTCCTGTACCTTTACATTTGATATTTTTTATTCTAAGTTATTCCTATTAAGTATTATATTATTTGCTAGCCCTATAGCAACCTTTTTATATCCTTATTCTGTCATCTAGTATGTTAGCTTTCTCTTGCAGTTCATCCAAACAAATAGGTTATGTTTGCTATGTAATCTTTAAATTGGATCATTTGTGGCTAAAGAAAATAGAATACCAGTATTCTTTCTGGCCAAGGTTTTTCTTTTTTCTTAGATCTTTTTTCCTCTGAATTTTTGATAATTGATGTTTACTTAGTCCTGTGCTTAAATAAATGTGGTTTTTTGCACGTATATACATCTGTTACATACTGTCAGTTGTAATAGTTTAATCTGTAAATGTGGGAATTAACATTTTAAAAATACTGGCCAGAAAAATTCAAGGGCAGAAAAAGAATTTTGATCTACATGGGGATTGTCCTTTGATTTCATAATGTATAAGTTAATATATTCATGCCTTTGCATAGCATAGAGTTCTCCATAAATTCTCCATAGAAAATCCACCCCATGTCCTAAAGTCTTTCCTCTTGCTCCCATAATATTTCAGGGGTAATAATTTAACAGTTGTCATTTCTCACTAACTAATTAACTAATATTGTTTGATTTGATCATACTCAATTACATTTTATGACATTTACAAATTACAATAGTGTTTTTTTAACTTTAGTGCTTTACATATATAAATATAACAATAGTGATTATTATATAATGAGATTGTACGTATGGTTATTGTGAAATATTTGGGAATTTGAACTACTAGAATTTTCCCTCATTATATTTTACACAAAGAAAAATTTTAGTGAAACACTATTTCAGTCTTTCAAGTATATATGTGAAATATAAGAAAATTTATTATTCCTGTATATGTGCTAATGGCACTTTTATTTTTCAGTGTAAAACCAATAGAAATGAATGTTATGATGCATTTTATATATGGAGGGACACTGGGCTTTCCAAATAAAGCTAATGCAGGGTATGTATTTACCTTTTTAGATTTTTAATTCTTTGCGTATATTGATTCTTTGTTTCTATCTTAATGAATTATGTATTATAGGACTAATGAAACAAACATCAATTTAAGTATTTTTGTTTTATAAACATCACTTTTACTGTTTTTAAAAAATATATTAAAAGTATGCTTTTTAAAAGATCTAGAAATAATGCTTTTGCTTGTTTGTTTAGAAGAAATGATGGTCTAATTGTTGTATGGATTAATCTTTAGCAAAGTTTTCGTATCTATAAGAAACTTTATTTTCATGATAGGATAAGTTTCAGTGTCTTTACATAAATGTAATTTTAACTTTATACTAAACTTTTTGTGAATTTTGAACTGAAAGTCAGTATTTGTGTGGAGTATTAGATTCTATCTTTACTAGAACAAAATTAACACAGATTAGACTTATTTGGTAATGTAGGTAGTTAAGCTCATGTCAATAAAGCATTTATTATACTACACAATGCCAACTCAGTGAACTGCCCACCTAATTTATTAAAAAGCTAATAGATTAAAGTTCGACCCTCCCTTAGTCAATTTTTCTGAGAACTTGGTTTTTTGTTTGTATGCTAGCTCCAAAAGAATAAAAATATGAGCATTTATAAGTTTAATTCTCCTAAAATTGTTTTTCCTTTTGATATTATTCTATTACATTTATTAATAGTATTCCATCGAAGAAAATTCTAGGAAGGAGCCGGACTGAATATTGATAGTTTGCTACTGTAAACCTGTATGAAAATTTCTTATTGTTAAAAGTCAACAAACATTAAATGCTCTGCATACAGTAGGCCTTTTATGCAGAGCCCTGTGCTAGATGTCAAGAGAGGCAACAGTTTATGTAAGACCCAGTCCCTTATCTCATGGAGCTTACGTTCTAAAAGAGAAATATGACACAACTAACAGTAATACAGAATAATATAAATGCATGAGTGGAACAAGCAAAGTGGCATGTGAAGTCAGTGGAAGAGAAAGGATATCAGCAATTAGAGACGTTAGGAAAGGCCTCCTGCAGGAGATGCCATTTAATTTGGTCTTTTAAAGATCCTTAAGGGTTCAATAAAGGGAGGGAGGAGGGAGGACAGAGTGAGGGGATTACATTCCATACAGGAAAGAGACACATTAACAAAGGACATTCAAGCATGGGACATATATCACAGATGGCTAGTGTCTAGTTTGGCTGGAATACAGAATTCATGGGGAGGACGCTGCGAAGATTGGATGTTAGCTAGTAGGTAATGGAAGCTCTGGAATTCTTGACAATGGAGGGTGAACTTCAAGTAATAGGTAATACATAGTTTTGAAGGGTTTTCAGCAAAGGAATGAGGGCCATGACTGGACTAAGCTAAATGAAATAGGTTTGAAGGAAGAACTGTAGGACAGAATTTCTGGTTACTCCATGGGAGTGGTGATTAGGACCTCTCCTTCCGGTGGCAGAAGAGAAGAGAACGAATGTGAGAAAGGTAACTGAATGACTAGGGGGAGTATGGGCCGAATAACCAGAAGAGTCAGTTCACACATTTAAAAATTTGATTCTCTCCATTAGATCTTACTAAATGTGAATGCATCTACGGACCTCTCTTGAATCTCCTTGCTGTTCAACAAGCTTCTAGGTCTTCATTTCTCCCTATTATTAGCTATTGTGTGTTCTAAGGTCACAACTCATTTTAATGTTGAAAGGCAGGTTGACATACTGAACTTGGAGTCAGGAAGATTTGAGTTTGAATCCTACCTTAGACACTGAGCCAGCACTGTGACCTGGGCAAGGTCCTTCATGGGTCTTGTATTTCAGTTCGCCTATCTGCAAATATGAAGGATTAGACTCCCTGGCCTCCAAAGTCCTTTCCAACTCCAAATCTGTATATTCTGTGATAAGTCTTCCTACTCTTATGCCTGCCTATCCCCTTAGCATTTGGATTTATTGTTTCATTATATCATCTTTTACTTTTTCCAATGTTGTTTGGCAATTGTTTTCTTTTGTCTCTTCATATTTTGTCTTCTCATTCACAGTGTAAGCTGCAATAGGTCACGGATTTCATCATCTGCATTTTATGTGTACAGTCCATGAAGTACTGGAGTACAGTTGTAATTTAGAGTAAAAGTAATAAAACAATTAGATAATTCTCTACCCACCCTCAAAAAATCATGATAGATTCCCCTGTTCTAAAGTGTTCTCCCTCTCTTTAGTAGGGATGTTGGCTGGGAATTAATTGAGGTTGGGAAGTGGAGTTGTCCAGATTTGTGATTTCATTTGGCAACTTTAAGGATAAGTGATTTGCCCAATGTCACATCTTCAGGATGTGTCTGAGGAAAAACTTGAACTAGGTCTTCCTGACTCTGAAGCTGGCTATGTCTTACTGCCTCTTGTGATTTAATTTAGCATTGTTTGTTTAAAACTGAGGTTCAGTAACAGTAGTGTAGACGAAATGACTTTTCTCTAGACTGGTCACTGTGCCCTGTATGACATGGTTCTCTTAGATACTTCCAAAAAAATAAGCAGGTCAAAATTGCCCATTAACTGATGGTTGCTTATTCAGTGTTTTTTATTGTTATAATTACTGATTATAATTACTAATAAGTAACTAATTCTATGACTTAAATATAGGGCTTTTTCTTTATCTTTACTGTGGTAATTGTTCAAGGAAGCTAATTGTCAGGAATGAGACTTTTATTGATAGGTTAAAATAGAAATGATAATCTAAGAAGTTGGTCCAGATTCAAATTTTTTCCATATAGCAATATGGTTATAGATTGCATTAATCCCTGCAAATATTAATATTTGTCTAAGATAGATTGTAACATGTCTTCTATTAAAGTAAACAGTATTTTGTGGGAGAAGAGCTGTACTTTGAATAAAAAAATCTGTTTTCCCTTTGGTGTTTTAAAAAAGAACAATAGAAACTGACCAGACTAGTATTTCTGGGGTCATTGAAGAGCCTTGCCATCCTCTCTGTTTTCCTAGATGATCTTGGCATTTCTTAGCCTTGTGAGATAGCACTGAGGAGTTAATTTGCAGTTGTAAAAAAATCATTGGCTTCCATGGCAGATTTGACTTATTTAAATTATTTTAAATAAATTTATATATAATTTAATAAACATTAAATTATTTTTTACTGAGAGATCTTCTCCTTTCTTATCCCATTAAGTTCACTGTTCGTTGAATTGTCTTTTACTTCCTTACTTATACAAATATGGGCAAATAACTTGTCCCTGAAAGGCACAAGAGATTTGAGTTGATTTGCCTTCCTTTATTCCATTTGATCGCCACTGATGAAGTAGCAAGTCCTTCATTCAGATGGTACCATCCTTACTGATATCTACAATAAAACATGCATTTTGTTATTTAGAACAAAAAGAAGTGGAAGTAATTTGTACTCTGTTTTCTAAGCAAATTTTGTTTGTGATTACAAAATCTATTTGTCTGATTTTGATCATTACTCTTTTTGCTTTAGTCAGATACTGAACCTGGCAGATATGTATGGATTAGAAGGGTTGAAAGAAGTAACACTTTATATTCTTAAAAGAGATTACTGTAATTTCTTCCAAAAGGTATGTACTGTATCTCTGAAACCTTGTATCCAGTGTATAGACCTAAAATACCCAGAGGATTTTGAATTCCAAGAGAAAATAATGTTCAGCTCTTTATAATACTAAGAGCATGCTGCTCGTAGAAAAAGGTGATCCCAGCTGAGAAATCAATCAGTCTTAAGTATTTAGCAAGCATTAAGTTAGACCATCATAAAGCAAAGTACCTGGATCACAGTATCTCAGAGCCTTCCAGAAATGCCTTCACTAGGCTATGATTTAATGTTAAACTCTTTGTCTTTATAGAAGACTGATAAGAAATCTGTCAGTATATCTTCATTTTGGTTGGGAATTTTAATTATGCACTAATTTATTTGTCTAAGGATCCATGCAATACAATAAATTATTCCCTTGCATTTAGTTTTGGGAAAAAATTTATTTTTACAAATAAAGCATACAAATGTATGCTTTCTATTTGTCAGAAAACAAACCTCTATAACAAATTGTTTGCCTTTTTGCATTAGTAAAATTTTAGAGAAATTTTAGAGGGAAATTCACTGTTCAAGTGATATAATATTCTCACTCCAAGTGCCTGAAAGTATCTACATATTCCTTTAGACTGCCTCTGTTATGTTTTTATGTATCTTACCATCCACTGTGCTTTATTCTACCTGCCTTAACTCATTTTAAAAGTAGACAGTATATATATCAAATTGCTTACCATTTTTAGGGAGAGGAGGGAGGGAGGGAGAACATTTGGAACTCAAAATTTTTAAAAAGTGAATGTTATAATGTTAAAAAAAATGTAATTAGAAAAAATAAAATATCATTTAAATGGAAAATTTTTTTAAATGATTGTTAAAAAATTTTACATGTAATTAAAAAAATAAAATATTTGAAGAAATAAAGGAATGTGATTCAGAAGGGAAAAAAGTATATAGGATACAATCATTAAATATATGAACTTGTAAATAATTTCAAGTAGATGGATATTTTAGTTATCTAGGATATATAATCGCCATTTCCAATCATTTCCAGGAATGTTGATTATCCATTTTGTGGTTTTCTTCTTTTTCACAAAAAACTAAGATTCACTTGTTGGTTTCCTGAGTGGAGGGAGGAAAGTATGTATCTGATTTGAAGGATTCATGTAACCACAGCATGACCCAACATCATAAAGAAACTTGTACTTGAAGGGGTTGCAAATAGAATTAAAATTTCATTTGAGTCACAATCATTTAAAATAGGACTTTTTTTTTTGGTCTTTTCCTTGAGGCATCTCATTTTTTTTTCCTACAAAAAATGAACAAACCATCACTGTTAAGGGGAAGTGTATTCCTTGCTTGTCCTTTTCTCTTTTGCCCACCACTCAATATGGGGATTGCTATATTCAGGACTATAAAAATATGCAAAAAACAAAAAACAAAATGTAGCTTCCAGGAAGGATTGGTAGGCAGGAAGATCCAGTCAGGGCCAATGTCAAAGCATCAGCAAGGAAGTTAGACTGGAGAGAGTGAGCAAATCTCCTACCCAGTAATCAGTACAGAGCCGTATTCACCACGTCCCCAGACCTGCTGAGGACAAGAGACTCCCCCTCCTCTAGTTACTGTTAGTCCTGGGGCTTGGGCTATGGTCAGTGAAAAATTCTACTGCTCTCTGACCAGCCAGGGCCCAAACAATAGGCCTCTTATTGCCAGATCCAGTCAGCTTAGGACCAAAGATGAAGGTGGCAATGATGATGGTGGTCACTCAACTATTACCGACCCATGGATAGCAAACCCTTTCCTTTCCTAATGCCTGTGATTAGGAATCAAAGAATTTGTCAAAGACTGACTAGATGAAAACTCCCTTCCCCTTTTATCACTCCTATAACCCTTATCCCCCTATTCACCCTATCTATACTCCTCTGTGTCCTTATTCTATTCTGCCTCCCCTTGCATTGTGACCTCTGAGACCCCTTATCTGTTGTTAATAAATTGTTCTTCATATTAGACTTCGTTCTCTCAAACACCTTCCATCTCCTTGAAATCACAGAAACCTGGTTGCTCACGAAAGACATCCGTCATTCTTTGCTCTCTCAATACTGACTTCTCTGATTCCCTCCCTCCCTCATCCCCCACCTTCTCTGTAGGTTGAGTGGTGTAGCAGGGACCTAACAGCAGAAGACAAAAGGCACCAACAAGGAATACTTTTGAAGATTAACTTTCTAAAAATGTACATTTTTTTCTTTCCACTTTTAAGTCTATTTTCTTCAAAACAAGAAAGTGATAGGCGCCCCCAAAAGTAGATTATATTATAGTACTATAGTAATCATACATATAATAATCTTTGTGGAAATAGAGAAGAGAATGGGAAGAAGAATGCTAATGATGGATCTGGGATGGTCATATGTAGCAATGGATCCTTTATAAGTTGGGTATTTGTTCAATGATTACTGCCTATATAATGGTTTTCATCTGTGTGTATGTTTATATGTTTGTGTTAAACTAACTAGGGTACAGGGTGTCTTGAGTTACTTCCAAGCTTGTCTTATACTTAAAACAGATTAACTTTAATTCAGTTTTTTTGTTTGTTTGTTTTTGTTTTCTTTGCTAAGCAGTGGGGTTAAGTGACTTGCTCAGGGTCACACAGTTAGGAAGTGTCAAATGTCTGAGGCCAGATTTGAACTCAGGTCCTCCTGACTCCAGGGCCGGTGCTCTATCCACTGTACCACCTACATGCCCCAATTCAGTTTTATTTTGTTTTAAGAGAGGCGGTGTGGTATAGATAGAGAGCCAGAAGGAAAACATGGGTTCCAGTTGTGTTTTGACATATTCTAGCTATGTGTTGTTGACTAGTCCCTCAATCTTTCAGGGTCCCAGGCAACTCTCTCCACCCTACATGCAGAGGAGGCACCCTTTCTTATTAGGAATTTTCTATATTGAGGAAACACAAGGCTAGTCCTGAAAGTCATGTTGCATTCTTAGCAGAGGGAATTATCGTAAAACCAAACTTATGGCACTTTCAAAAACGAGTCAGAAATTGTTGGCCATGTTAGAAGAGCTCTCACAGTAGGCTATGCTCAGAGTATCTGAAGTTGAGTTTTCTCTTTTTGGCAAGCAGCAGTACTTCAGATGTACATTGTGAACTATTAGATATTTACATTTGATAAGTGCTATGCCTTATTAAATATATGATTACAAATATATAATAAGCATAAAGCAAAGTAACTTCTGTGTAACTCATTTGGACAAAGGTAGCACCAGGAAGTGTATTTTAAAAAAGAAGTATTTCATTAGGAGTGACCTGACTTAAATATTGTGTTCTAAGTATTGAGGATATTTCAGAATATTATTGCAAAGCTGACCTTTAGATTCCATGATTTTATTTATCTTTTAATCATGCCTGAATTTCTCTGCTTCCGGTTGATAATGTTATTTCACTTATTCTATTTTGATTCTTTATCTCATTTTGTTTTAGGTCAGTGCAGAAACTTCCATGGCATATATATACATATGTATGTATGTATATGTATATATGTATGTGTGTGTGTGTATATATATATATATATATATATATAAGTTAGTAAGTACATCTAATACTTTAAAAAGGGACAGGAATAGGGTCTGAGCCTGTGATTTAATTTGTATAGAGAGCTCTCAGACAAAGAAAATGCTGTAAGAAACAGATTAAACAGTTTGGCTTTCTTGCATGATGATCATAAACACATTAGTTTAGAGGTACCTTAAAGTACCGTAGAAATCTACTTGTCTGATTCCTTCATTTTAAAAACGAATAAGTTGAGACCCAGAAAGGGGTGTACCTTGTCCACATTTAGAAGTGAGGAATGGCAGACCAGATCTTCTGCTTCCCAGGCCAGTGCCCTTTCCGTTCATCATGACTTTAGAGGTGACAGGGTTAAATGTGTATAGAGGAAATGATGACAAGAAGCCAAGGCAAGGAAACTATAATCAAAATGTTGGACATTCTGGAATCTAAATGAGTCAGATGCTCCTCTCTGCAAAACCCAAGGCTTTGTCTAATTTATTTGTCTTGATTTAAAAGACTGTTTGAGGGCACTTATTCACATAAATTTATCGATGTATAAATGGTGCTGAGTCATTTTGTAAAAATGTGTTTTTTAATTCTTAATGTAATAAAGGCATGTTCCTCTTTCAGTTGGTAAAGAACAATGCTTTGTTTTGTTGTTGTTGTTGTAGCCAGCCCCCGGGAGATTGGAGGCTATACTAGAATGTCTGATTATTGCTCATTCTGTGGGAGTGGAAAGTCTTTATGATGATTGTATGAAGTAAGTGATCTGAAGTACTGTTTATCCTTTCACTTTGGCAGTCCTATTTTTATAACTTTCCTATTTTGATAGCACTTTCAGATCTGTCTATTATTTTTTCTAGACATAAGCTTTAGAACTGCAATGGCCACAAGTTAGGATAATTGAGCTAATTTCCCAGTTTAGTTCTCGCTTTGAAGGTAGACAGGATTAATTATATGCATATTTATTAAATGTAGTTTATTGTGTAGAGTTCTGTTTACATTGGCTTAACTCAATGTTAGGCTGAAAACTACTTTTCTACAAAAGATGTAATGTAATCCTACCATGAAATGAATTAAGAATGTTACCATAAGTTCTAACCATAATTTCATCTAGTTATGATGTAATCATTTGTACTTTATATCATTTAAAGGTGGTAGGACATTATTTTAATTCTTCTCAATTTGAATTTCTAATAGGTGGATTGTAAAGCATTTTGCGAGGTGTTGGTCAGAGAGGAGCTTTGCAAATATACCTCCTGAGATCCAGAAAAATTGCCTTACTATGCTGATTCAGTCTTTAGTAAGTATACCCTGAATGATTTTTTAAAAATTTATTATTGAGATTATTCAGTTTTTTAGAGATAGTACTAAGTCATTTAATCTTTTAAATATGTTAATTAAGGCAGTTTTTTAACAAAAGAAAGACTTTGCTGTTAATATTATCTGCTAAAATAATGTTTATATTTTTGTCATATTAGTATATTTTTGATACTTTAGAGAGTGGTCAAAAATATGTCAAGTGGTCCTTAAGTTAATTTTTAGTCACTAAATTTATATGTTGTATTATATGCAGAACTGGAGAGAATTCTGATTTTTATGGAAATATAGATTCAAAAAAGAAATAGCCTATGAATTACCTTTAAAAAAAATTAAGCTTTTTACAAAAAAAAGCTTAGAACATTAAATATATATATAATACAGTACCACAGATGTTCTTGATGGGAAAACCACAAGTACATATTTATAATTATTTTACAGGGTTGGTGACCATTACTAAAGAAATTTCTTTTTGGAATGTTAACTGATTTACTAGAAGGTTGTTTTTGAGAAAGAAAGATGTAGAGTTGCAGTTAATGTACTGTGAATCATAGATACTCTGGTCTTGATTTTTTTTCCCTGAACATAATTGGAAAAAGAAAAGAATAAATTTTATTATTTCTTGCATGTTAGCACGGTTATCCCGCAAGGTCCATCTCTCCTTTCCCCTACTCCATGTATTCTGCCATGGTCTAATTAGCTTCTATGGATTCAGTTACCATCACTGTGGAATGACTTTCAGATCTGTTTATACATCACTGATCTCTCATCTCTAATGATATCCTATATTGCTAACTGCTTTCTGGACAGCTCTACCTAGATGTCCCCTTGTCATTTCAAACTCATTATGTCTAAAACAGAGCTCATTTTTTGCCATACCCATACCCCCCAACCTTTCCCTTCTCCCTTTCTCATTCCTGTTAAGGTCACCAGATCAGCCGCCCGGGTATGCAGCCTCTCAGAGTCACTCTAGGCTCTTTCCTCTTCCTCACCCCCTAAGATCCAGTCAGTTACAAGCTACCTTTTTCTGTCAATTCTGTCTGCACTTTGTCTTTTAAATCATCTCCCTTTACTTTCTATTCTCTCTAGTGCCCAGCTAGTCCCCTATTATGTCCACATTGCCTCAGTAGCCTCCTGATTGGTCTTCCTGCTTCTAGTCTTTCCTTCCCCGATTCTTTCTCCACATAACTACTAATATTATCTTCCATGGGTCTGAGATAAGTAAAGTGCTTTGTAAACCTTAAAATGCTGTGTAATTATTAGTTATCATTGTAATTATTGTTATATCACTTGTGATTAGAGGCAGCATGTCATAGTGGTGAGAGCTGGCTACAGTACCCATAAGATGTGGCTTCAAATCCTGTCTCTGAAAAACCTTGGCTGTGTGATCCTGGGCAAGACACTGAACCCCTCAAGGTGCTTGTCAGTGGTCTAAATCTGTAAACTGCAAAGAAGGTGCCAACCTGCACTCCTAGAAGTTTGTCACCTCTCTGATAGCAGTGAAATTTCAGCCCCCAGCACTATTCTGCCATTTCCCTTCTCAGAAATCTTCTAAGATAAAATACAAACTTCTCAGCTTGGCATTGAGAACCGTTAACAGTTTGGCACCCAGTCTATCCATCTAGCCAATGACATTTTGTATTCCTTCCTTTCCTGCATTCGTTTCAGGAAAAAAAAAAATAAAACTAGCCTCCTTGTTGTTCCCTCAAACTGACTTTTCATTTCCTTTTGCATGCCTCTGCACAGTCTGTGACCATCAAGGCTCAGAGCAGATGCCATCTCGTTTTCAAATCCTTACCAGATCACTTCTCCTCCTTCTGAATTTACTTTGTATTTATTTATCCATAAACGTGTTGTATTGTCCCAGGAGGACTGAAGGTCTTTGAAGGGAGGGATTGATTTGTTTTCATCTTTATGTCCCCAGTGTCCAGCCCAGAGTAGCAACTTAATAAATGCTGAATCTTTTCAGTGCCTCTCTTTTCCTCATCCCTGTCCTGACCTCTCTCATCTGAACTTCTCCTGCATTGTGTTTAGTCCTTTTTTGATGACTTCATGTCAAATAGAACTTCTAGCTAAGTTGTAAACTTTGTGAGTCTTATATCATACTGACCTCAATAGAAAATGGCCTCAGATGTCCCAGGGATCTATCTTTGGCATGAAGTTGTTTTGTATTTTCATCAATGACTTGGATAAAGGACTAAATGACATAGTTATAAAACTTGGAGAGGATGTAAAGCTGAGAGAGATAACTAACAAACACAGTGGATGACGGAGACAGTATACAGAAAAGATCTCTAGAATATTGTACTGAATTGAATAAGATCAAACTTAACAGGGATCCATCTTACACTTAAAGTAAAAGAAAAGCACCCAAAGGTATAGCACAGGTGAGGCATGGCTAGTTAGATTTGCATTGAGGTCTAGTATCCAGGGAATTATTTATTCAGTTTGGGCACCACTACTTAGGAAGGATATTTATGAGCTGAAAGGCATCCAGGGGAGGGTAGACAGGATGGTAAAGAACCTTGAGATCATGCTATATTAAGATCGAAGGAACTGGGAGTATTTAATGTGTAAAGACTTAAGAGCAGAGAGATGGGGAGGGAAACACAATAACACTTGACTCTTTGAAGAGTTCTTGTTTCAAAATGGGAACAGACTTGTTCTGTTTGCTCCCAGAGAGCCAGGACTAGGAACCATGGATAAAAGCTACAAAGCTACCCATTTAGGTGTAATGTATGAAAAACTTTAGAGCTGCTCAGAAGTGTAGTGGATTTCTCCAGGAGGTCTTCAAACAAAGGCTGCATGACCAGTTATTGAGCTTCTTGGACATGGAATAGGGTTCTGGACCATGTTGGACCATATAGTCACTGAAATTCTGTGATCTTACTTTTCAAAGAAATGAAATTTGTTTTAAAAAAATTTTTAAACATAGTTTTACATGACGTATACCCTTCACAAAACAAATGGAAGTTGACCTGGGTTCTTGAAGGCTATTCCACCATAGCCCAAGTTCTGGCATGCTCTGTCCTTGGAAAGGCTTTGAGAGGAAGTGAGAGCAACATGGTGGATTAGCAGGAAGCTGTGCAGCAAGCCTCTCCCCCCCCCAAAAACAAAACAAAACAAAACAAAAACGAACTTCTACAATACAGATTGAATCCTAGTGGGGAAATCTAAGAAAAAGTCACAGTGACTCCTTTTTCTAGCCCAGGTCGGCGTAGAGAGGTGAGATAGGTCTACAGGCACTGAGGATGGGATCTGGCGAAGAATAGCCACATGGAGCGCCTTGGCACCCAGGAGCAGGCTGTGCCCTTGGATAAACGAGGTCCCAGACTTATACCGGGGTGCCATATGATAGGAATGGGCGCCACTTGGAAGCTTTGTCATCCATTGTTCATTTCTTCTTCTCAAAACCAGGGCAGATGGAAGAGGGGACCTGTGTACAGGGGTGTCATTTCAGGGTAGGAGTGATTAATAGGCCCTGAGTAAGGTAGTAAAAGAGGAGCAGTTGCGTGGCTCAGACTTTGAAAGCAGAAGGAAACCTCACTTCCACCTGTTAGCCTGATTTGAAGCTTGCAGAGTAATAAACCAAGGCAAAAATCCCAGACTCAAGTGGATTCTGTAGTTCTGTCCCTCTGAACCAGTAGATCTTCCTGATGATGTATCAGTCCAGCAACAATCTTCTTTTGTTCAGGCTCAAACCCAGATCAGGATCTAGCTAAGCTCAGAACAGTGGAACAGCAATAAGACTTTGCCCTCGATTAGACCACTTTGAGAATAGTAGAAGCTTGCAGGTCCCCAGCCCGAGTTATCCACAAGGTCCTGGAATAACACAACACTCAGTATACAAGAAAGCATCAATATGACCATCCCAGGCTTTCCCTCCAGAAGTGCACAGAGTTGTCCTCTAACTTCAAGTCTGAAGTCAGAAAGTAGGCGAGAAGACTGAGCAAATTAAAAAAAAATCCCACCATAAAAAGCAGTTATAGTGATAGGGGCAATCAAGACACAAACCCAGAAGAAGAGGATAATTGCAAAGCATCTACAAGGAAAGCCTCAAACAAAACCACAACTTAGGTACAGATTAACTAGAATTCCTGGGAGAGATGAAGCACTAGTTTTAAAAAGAGTTTAAAGAGTTTTTATAAATGAAATGAGAGTGTTAGTTTTAAAAAACTGGAAAAGAAATGAGAGCTATGGGAAAAAAAATTAGAAAAGGAATTTATAGCTTGGCACAAGAGGTACAAAACCTTGCCTAAGTACCAACAAACTTCCTGAAAATTAGGATGGACCAAATTGAAGATAGTGACTCAGTGATACAACAGTAAATATCAAAACAGTCAAAAAGCTGAAAAAAAAATAGAAGAAAACGTACTATATCACATAGTAAAAACAAATGATCTAGAAAAAAAATTGAGGAGAAAAAAAAATTAAGAATCATTGAACTACCTGAACTCTATAACCAAAAAAAAAAAAAAGGAAAAGGAAAAGAATCTACATGTAATTTCAAGAAATCTTTAAAAAAAACTGCCCAGATTTCTTAGAAGTAGAAGACAAAGTGTGCGTTGGTCAAAGGTGGGGGTGGGGTGACCAAAAGGCAGGGGGAAGATTCTCTGATTACCTCTTGAAAGAAACTTCCAATTGAAAACTCTTAGGAACATTATAGCCAAAATTCAGAGCTTCAAGGTTAAACACACACACATACATATCTTGATCTATATCTATATCTATCTATTAAGCATCCAGAAAGAAGAAATTCAAGTACTGAGGAGCCACCATCAGGATGAACTAACAGCCAACACTTTGAAAGAACACAGAGCCTGGAATATGATATTCTATAGCAGGGGTGGGGGAACCTGCGGCCTCAAGACTATGTGTGGCCCTCTAGGTTCTCAATTATGGCCCTTTGACTGAATCCACATTTCATAGAACAAATCTTTTTAATGAAAGGATTTGTTCTGTAAAACATGAACTCATTCCAGT